AATTATCTGGCCAATCATACAATTAATTAAAAAATGACCAATTACAATTTTATCCAGTTTATAAGTATCTACAACATTGCCATTGGTCCGAAAATCATAATAGTTTTGTCAATAATATAGTATAGGAACGGGTGGTCCACACGAAATTCAATCGGTGGGGAAATAATACGAAGACTCAAACGACTGACCATAACAACAGCTGTAACGGCCGTCGCTTCGGTTCCGTATTCATCGACAGATATAATAGTTTTGTGTTTTTCATTTATTAATATTTTTTAATAGGTCTATAAATGATTTGATACTCAAACAACATTTAATAATATTTTAAAAAATAAATTGAATTCAACAAAGCATTAGAATTGAATGGACAACAAATTTATTTGCACACAATTTCATTGCCCAATGACTACCCAATTATGATATCCCCAAAATCAGACTATATTTTATGGCAAACGGTTTGTGTGATAATAATTGTTAATCAATATGAAGTAGTTTTGGCCATTGAATACCAACAACAACAACAAAAACTATTAGTTATCGGCCAACTATAAGAGCGATAACAGTCATCATAACTGTGACTATTTGTGGACCACTTAACTGTCGGCTAACTAAACAGTGTTTGTGTTTATTGTTTGAATCAATTCATTCATTTAGCAGTGAATACGGTTGTACTGTAATTCCCGAAGTATTTATTTGACTAAAGTTTCCGGTTATCGCCATTGGATTGAATTGAATACCAGAATTAAGACATAATTCAAATTCAATTGTCTGAATATTAATATAGTTTTTAACTCTTAGCAGATGTAACGGCCGCCGCTTCGGTCCTCTTTTCGTCCACCGATATAAATGTTTTGTGTTTGATTTGTGTTACGGTTTGATTACCAGATGAAGTGGACAGTCGTGATAAATCTGCTTCAGTGGTCAATGCAATTGGTTTGGGATTTATATCTTTCATCAAATCGTACTCTTTTTTCTGACTTAAACTTTGGTAAAAATAAATAAATTTTCAATATTTTTTGTATGAAATGCCTGAATAAGTGATGAATTCAATTAAATATAAATATATTATAAATATTGTATATTCTGACTGAAAATTCATTGTTTCACTTAATCACCAAATTTTCGGATGAATCCAATTGTTTGATTGAATTGTTAGCCATTATACCGGTTAACAGTATCGACATAATTACTAAACATAACATTTTTTTGCTGATAAATATACAAATTATATAAAATGTAAAATTTACTAAACAATACAAAAATAATATATTAATAAAAATGTGAAATTTTTTTAATTTTATTAAATTTTTATTTATAATATGATAAACAAATTAATATGTTAATAAAAATATAAAATACTCTAATTTTAAGAGTTTTTAATAATAATAATACATATTATAATATATTTTAGAGGAACAGGTAATCGACTATCATTTAAAAATGATTGTGACTTATTGGGATATTTTTAGTTTTAGATAAGATATTTAATTAGTTTTTAAATTTATATCTTTTTCATTTGTAATTAAATTTTTTAAAAATTTTTAAAGTTTATTGATTTGTCCGGAAAACATAATCATACCATTAGTTTTGTCAATAATATAATAGAGGAACGGGTGGTCCACACGCAACTCAATAGGTGGGGGATGAAAAATAGCTGACAACGGACCAGCCATTGAAACAGCTGTGACGGCCGCCGCTTCGGTCCCCTCTTCGTCCACAGATATAAAGGTTTTGTGTTTGACTTGAGTTACAGTTTGATCACATGAAGTGGACAGTCGTGATAGATCTGCTTCAGTGGTCAATGCAATTGGTTTGGGATTTATATCTTTCATCAAATCGTACTCTTTTTCTGACTTAAACTTTGGTAGAAATATATTTACATATTTTCTATTCACTGATTTGAATGCTTTGTCAAAGTTTATGGCATTTATCTGAGTCTTGAGTTTTGACAAACCGTTTCTATCATTTGGTAATACAATAATAAAAGACATTTCCCTTCCCTTATACGGCAATTCAATGAGCACTGAGTTTAACTCCTGTGAACTAAAGTAATTATAATCATCTGTGTGTGTCATTGTGTCGACCAAAACATTACTATTATTGTCGCCGTTATTATAAAATTCAGACTTTTTAGTCCTCCAATCTAAAAATTTTTCCTCCCAATTACCTAATTATTTATAAATTTATATATAATTAAATAATAATAATAATTATTAAAAACCGTTTATACCTTTAAAATAAACCGCATTTAATAGTATAAGAGATGTCTGTTCATCGATTGTGTCAAATATTTTTTTGTATTTTATTGTTTGTCTGTTTGCTAATCCATTGATTAATTTTGTCAGTCTCTGCCACTGAATTATGTTTGAAGTCAGCCCTATCTACCTGTGCTCTAAATGCCAGTTGTATTGCGTCCACAAACTCTTGTTTAAGTACTTCACTATCATTTCGTACGACAAGATTTGCAATATTTAACTGATGTTTCAAATTTATAAAATAACGATAGTTTTCTTGTCTTTTATTCAAATTGTTTTTATATTCAATGTCTTAAAAATAGACAATTAAATAGTTTCGCAGGTTTAGTATATTAATTTGAAATTAATAAATAAAAAATATTTATATTTACTTACTTTTGTTTTCATACAATTCATTAATAGTTTGATCACTAATTAATTCATTTGTCTTTTTGTTTTGAAATCCAAGAAATGTCTTCAAATTGTCGAGTGTTTTATCGTTTGCGCCGTTCATTAGTATACCTATCAGTAAAATGATATTTCAATAAAAAACTTAATATTTAAAATAGTTATTATTTTATATAACAATATATAGTATTATATAACATAACAGACTTAATGCCGATATTATTGAAAACGAAGAGATGATATCGTTGTCATCTTTGGCTAACATATTGTATATTCTGAATGAAAATTCATTGTTTGACTGAATCACCAAATTTTCAGATGAATCCAACCCTTGGGTTGAATTACTAGCCATTAAACCGGTTAACAGTATCGACAATATTACTAAAATTATCATTTTTATGACAATAAATCTACAAATTATGCTTTAATTAATGATAAGATAACTTTATTATATTATAATAATTTTTATTAAATCATAAATTTATAATTATAAAATGGTGACAAATTTCAAACTTTAAAACATCAAATATGTTAATAAATATATAATTTACTATAAATTACATATATTAACATATTTGTAAATTAATTAATTTTTATAATAAATTTATAAATAATTATTAAATTTTAATATTAATAAAACTATAATTTAAAAAAATCTTACTATAAATATGATACTTTAATTACTAATTTTTATAAATATGTAAACAACCAATATATTAATAATTGTATAGTATAATTTAATTTTTATTAATTAATTAAAGATCTAAAACATTTATATATTTATATTATATCTATATTAATAATAATTAGTTGCATAAAAGTAAGTTATAAAAATATTAATCTTGTTTGTTATTAATTATTTATTAACTTTAAACTTGGTCTATTGTTCATAATCATTAATATTGTATTTCCTGTAATTAATAATTATTATAAATCATTAACTATTCTATTCATTTTTTTGTACATTATTTTAATTCAAATTATATGTTGAGAAGTTATTGCTAAGTTATAATAGTTTAACAATAACTTAAAAATTTTTTTTATTTAACACACAATAAATTTATTATATATTACTATATTTAAAAATAATAATAAATAATTTTAAAATATTCTAACTTTAATAAAATTCGCTATAAAATCTAACTTTAATTTATATTGTTATTACTACTAAAACAAATTAAGCAAATATTAAATCATTTATTAAATTTGTTCAAATGTTGTAATATAAATGTCAATAACTTTTTATAACAATTATGTTCATAATCTTGTTGTACTTTAACAAAAAAACAATTATTTGATTAACCAATTAACTAGATTAATAATAAGTATATCCTAATAAACAGATTTTTATATTAATTATAAATTAATAAAATTGTTATTTTGTAATAAAAAAAACTAAGTATATACAGTGATCAAAACAACTAAATAACTCCTAACTAAATAAAAATGTTAATACCTCTAAATACTAGTTAATCAATTTCAATGTTGTATATTATATTATAAATAATAGCCCGAATCCTCCGATTTATTAATTATAAGAAATTTTTTTTCAAAATTTTCTGATTATTTTACAAAACTAGTTTATTGAAAAAATTAGTATAAAATTATAATAAAACTTTAATTTAATAAAAATATATAGTTTTAGACTTAGAGAACTTTGACAAGTTTTAAACTTTGAATATTTTAATGCAAAAATACTTAAGTTTTTAATAATAAAATTGACAATTTCAAAAAATAATTAATTTAAAATTGCTATAATAAGGCTATTAAATACTGATACATGCTTATAAATCTATATTTTTATATTCTAACTTCAAATATACATAATTTTGACTAAAATCAAATTTTATAAATAATTAAAACTTTTAATAAATTATTTTCAACTTTTCATAAATTCAAGCTATAATTTATAAATAACATTAAAATTGGTTAGTTAATTGATTTGATTACTGTATACCTGTATATATCACATATAATATTAATTATATAATTAATTGATTTTTAAAAAATAAAAAAAGATGTATTTTGACAACAACAAAAAATAAATTTATCATGTAAAATTTCGTAACAATTTAATTGAATTTAACTATCTAGCATTATCAACTGATTTTAATTAATAAAATGTATAAAAAGAGAAACATTTTATATATTAAAAAAGTATTAACAAATAATACATTGTATTTGTAATCTATAAGTATTTTAGAAGAAAAAATAGAAAAAAAATATGTTTTATAGTAAACTAAATTTATTTATATTTGTAATACTATTTATACGACAATCGTTGTCCGTATATAACGGTAGATGTGGTCATTCGGATGTCAGCCGAATTGTTGGCGGCCAATATTCCCAGCGTATGGCGTGGCCGTGGATGGCATTGTTTAGGATACCGAAACTAAAAAATGGCTTATATGGCGAGTTTATGTGTGGCGGTACACTCATTAGTGACCAATATATTTTGTCGGCCGCACACTGTTTCGATAGCGATGACCATCGATTGGGAAACGTTACCATAATTTTAGGCGAACACAACATCGAAGAACGAGAATCGTCTACAAGAGTCATCAGATATGCCACTAATGTATGTAATCTGACTGATAACTGCTATATTTATATACCTGTATGATATTATATGATATTTTACTAACCATTTATCTATCTATCTATATATCTATCACTACAAACAAACAAACAAAAAATCAAATTAGATTTATTTAAATGGTTATAATAAGGCAGATCAGAGCAATGATATAGCACTGGTACGTCTGAACAGACCCTTAGATTTTAATGGACAACACAGTCATTTGCAACCGATTTGTTTGCCAACTGATGATAGCATTCAATCGGATGGCAACTCGTGTATGGCTACCGGTTGGGGTAAAACTGAGGAAACGGGAGACGGCGGACGAACACCGTCGGTGCTTAAAGAAGTACGACTGCCTATACGTAGCAATGATTACTGTCGGGAACGGTATCCACAAGATTTTCGTTGGAACACAAATATATGCGCCGGTTATGATAGGGGTGGCAGAGATGCCTGTCAGGGGGACAGTGGAGGACCACTTAACTGTCAACTGAATAACGGGGTTTGGGTTATTGAGGGCATCACTTCATATGGTAGAGGATGTGCCCGAGTAGACACACCCGGTGTCTATACCAAAGTTTCAGCTTATCTGCCGTGGATTAAGTATGTGACCGGTATTTAAACTGGTTTTAAATAATGTTTAAATATAAATAAATCAAATATAATATAATTTCTATAAAAAAATAAAATAATAAATTGAATTGATTAATTAAATATCATATTTATTTTTTCAACAAAAAAAATATTAACAAATTGTAATTAAAATTAATTTTATTTTTGTTATTATTTAAATAATTAAGTTTATATTAAAAAAACATTGTTATTTAACAATTATACTGTACTAATGTATTATTGTAATATTATGTATGTATAACAACATAATTTATATAGATATTAAATATACTGTACAGTAAATAAAATTAATAATAATTATTTAGAAATTAAGTAATTGATTTTTTGTTAGATTATATTACAATATAATAAATACAAAAAAATAAATAAATATATTTACAACAACGAAAATAAATTAATTAATTAAATGTTGACATTTGAAACAAACATTTTATATATTACACAACTCTGTAGTTATTATCACAAATTATTATCAAATCATTTGATAAGTCAATTATGTTTTTTTATAAATAATTATTTTATACATTAATTTTATCACTTAAACAGTTACCACAACAAGTGTTGTGCCATTATTCTTGTGACCAAACAGTTTATCATAGGCTGGAGGTATTGGATAGTACTGGTCATCTAAGTGTTCAATATCCTCATAATTTGGTGGTTTATCACTACTATTACCAGCATTACTGGCCGTACTTTCATTAGTAGGTGACTGTTGTTGTCGTTGACTTGTATTTGTATTATTATTATTATTATGTTTTCGCAATAATTGCAATAGTATTAGTGTCATCAAACAGACCATAAAATTACAGATAACATGCAAATAAAATTTCTCTCTTAACATAACCAGTATGGATATGGGAGTCATTAGGACAGTTAGTATGCTATAGGCGGCCAGTATTGTTTCGCTGCCATAGTAGACACCGGTTATGCCTAACAACAGCGAAAACAGTACCGAAAGCGCTGAATATAATGGCGTAAGAATCGGATGAATATTATGGTCTCCATCGGTAGTGTTGTCTTTGGGTTTTATCACCAAAAGCCAGACACAGACAACCAAATTGATAATAATGGTCAACAATAAGAGATATTTTAAAATTAATATTTGTTTCATTGTGTTTGACATTAATATTATAATTATTAAAATATTAACAACACTTAAACATAATATTCCTAATAAAAACAATAAACTTTTTTCTTTATAATTGTAATAATTATAAGTTTTAATTGAACAAAATATCTAAATGAAATATATATATAATAAATTTATAAAAAAACATTTCTATTTATATTTATACTGGGTATAAAAAAATATTTATTTTATTATCAATTAAATAAAAAAACAAATGTTGTTTATTGACTAAACTGAACGAAAATATATTTATTGTAGTGTTTATAATACAATAATATTTACTTAAGTTTTTTTTTATTTAATCTCTAATATCTGTAATAAATGAAATACTGGTATTTGATTTGCGACATTCAATTTTCAATTGAAATCACATTAAAATGCTTATATAATTTATCATTAAAAAATAGGTATTACCTTATTTTGCAAATATTTTGATAATTTTTAAAACTTTTTATCACATGTAATAAACATTTATAACTATTAGCTATTTTTTTTATCTATAGTACATCTACAGTTATAATTAAATTACTTTTTTATTATTAGTATTAAAATAAATAATATTGTAAACATGATAGTATTTAACAAAATAAAAATAAATATTAACTATTTTTTTAATGAAATTTATTTATAACAAAATATTTTTTTAATAATATAAAATTTACTATAATTATTAAATGATTATATTGTGCAATAATATCTAAATTATTACTGATATTAAGTAAATATGTGATAAAATGTTTCAAACACAAAGTGTTACATAAATAGTAGTTCACATGATTACCGGTATTGCACTATAAAAATGATTAAATTAATACATTAAAAGTTTTTCAATGTTATTATTAAAAAAAAAAAAACATTTTTAATGCAACTATTTTATTAACAGTTATCAAAACATTTATTGCATATTGTATTAAATCATTTTAAACCCACAAAATAAACAATAAATAATTTAATACTGTAAATACATAATTGCAGAAAAGTTATAATTATTACATAATTCAATAAATTTTTAAAAATGATAATAGTAATTAGTAATTCAAATTTGTATTTAAATTATTAAAGTACGTTAAATTATTATTTAAAAAAAACATTTAAATTTCAAATAATAATTTATTATATTTTTGCAAATATAAATCAATAAATATAATATATATAACACAAAAATTTAACTGCCTGTATTATATTTATTATCATTAACAAATAATTTATTTATTAAAATGCTACTATAATAAAAATTATTTATGCAATCAACAAATAGTAAAAATAAATAATATTTAATTAAATTTATACAAATAATAGTTATTAAAATAATATATAAATCTATATTTACTTATAATGAATTTTATTGATCTATAATAATATAATAATATTGATATAAATTAAAATAAAATGTACATTATTTACTCAACTAAAGTATATAATTAAATGTTTTGTTTCGTATTTTTTTAGTTTAATAAAATTCAATTGTTGCTTATTGTTATAAAATAAACATTAAATTCAGTAATTGTTTTGATTTATTTAAACTAATGTTTAAAATTAAATTAAAAATAAATAATTAGAATAACTATTAATTAAATAATTTATTATAAAACTATCTATCAATCAAAATTACAAATCTATCAATTATAGTATTAAATTAAAAATAAATTTTTAATAATATTAATTATTTCTAAATTAATAATTACTATAATAAATCAGCAATGTTAACATCATGTATTAAATTGATTTTGTCAAACACTACTAATAATTATTTAGATAAAAATAATTATTTTAACAATATTATTGATTTTAATAATAATAATTATTATTATAAAACTAATAAATTTGAATGTATTTTAAAAGCCTCAGTAAATGTAAAATCTTGATTATCATAAATATATTTAATTTTTAATATTATATTATGATATTTTTAAAAATAAAATGGTTATTAATTATTATTTTTTAAATATTATTAAAGATAAATCAATTTAATGGCAAATATTATAATATATGCAACGAATTTGTAATCCTAATAGAAATAATAGTAAATTATTTGAATTGCAGGTAATTATAAATATATTTTTCTTTATTAATAAAATTAATTTAATTATAAATAATTTAAGAAACATAAAAATCATATTTAATAAAAAATAAAATTATTTTAATAGGATATATTTTATACCAATAACTAGTAAGTCATTAAATGGCACAATAACAGCAACAATGAAATCCATTAAAAATAATGTAATTAAATAAACTAATTAATATTTTTAATATAAAAAATAATAGTATAATTTTATTTATTATTAATTAGTCTAGTGACCTTATAACGCTCATGCTAGTTTATAAAACTGATTTGTTTAAATTATGCGATTCAATTTACCCTGTTAATATTCACAATTTTCTAACAATATTATCTGGCGATTATACTGGCTATGCGATAAAGTTTCAATTGTTGCCCAAATATAGTTTGTCTATATGGTTGGTCATAGTTTCTATGTTTATTTTTAGTATAATAGTAATCATAATTAATACATGGATCCAAAAATATTTGACAAACCGGGACAAACCATTTGACTTGAATAATACTGTTGTATGTACTACACTAGATCACTTGTTAATACTAATTAGTAAATGTATGTACATGAAAATGCATTGTTTTTTTCAAATAGTATTTAATAATAATTTATTTTATTTTCTATTAATACTGTAGCTGTTATAAGCAATTATATGTTAAATGGATCAGTGTCGAAAATTATATTTGCCATTTGGTTAGGCAATTGTTTTTTTTGGTCACAATTGTTAAATAGTGATATGCTATCAAGATATTCACATAAACCGCTAACATTTATTGATCACCTTGATGATATAATTAACAATCAAAACAAATTGATTGTTTTGATTGCAAAATTCACTTATGTATATAATGGATATTTAAAGGTAATTACATAATAAAAAATTTTTAAAATTAATAATTAACTAATTAATTAAATTAATTTTTTAATATTAAGATAAAATATCCATCATTATTGTACCAAGATTTTCTATTTCAAAATATTAAATCTAAAAAATTTGTACATCAATTAATTAGCGGTCAAACGGTAGTAATAAATGGTGAAAAATATATCGATAAGATTATTAATATGTATCCAACAATACCATTACATAAGTCAAAGTATAACCAGTTGTTAGGTATATCCGGTATTTTTGTTAGGAAATCTTTGGATGAAAATCTAAAATCAAAACTTAAACAAAAGTAAATTTATAATTTTATAACATTTTTTGACAAAAAAAACTTAACTTTTTTTAAAAAAGATAAATTTTACTATATTTCCAGATTTGTTATTCTATGGGAATCTGGTCTCATATTATGGCGTTTATTAGTTAATACTATTATGGATCGGATAGAAAAATTAAAATACGATCGACTAATTCAATATAATAATAATATTAATAATGATTATTATATTATCAATACTATTAATCAATATGATAATAAGTTTCATGTAATTTGTGTTGATAATATTAAATTACTAATTTATTTTATTATATTTGGTTTACTATTATCAATCATTGTTCTAGTCATTGAAATATTAAAATTTACATATCAATAATAATACTAAAATGATTAAATTAATAGATTTAGTGAATTATGAATTCAATTGAAAAATAGTTTTAATAAAGTTTTAACTGTATAATAAACATTTTCAATGCAAGTATTTTATTATCAGTTATCAAACATTTTAAACTCACAACAAAATAAACAATAAATAAAATATAATAAATACTTAATTACAGAATAGTTATAATTATTGAACAAAAATTTTAAAGTTGTAATAGTTATTACAATTACTATATATTTATAAATTTAATGACAGTATTTAAATTATTTTAAAAAAAAAATATTTTATTTATCTAAAAACATATCATAAAAATTTGAAATAATAATTAACTGTATATTTTTATTAAATATAAAACAACAATTTAACTGCCTGTATTATTAATATAACAAATAATTTATTTAATAAACTGTTGTTATAATATAACTTATTTATAAAATCAATGTATAGTAAAAATATAAGAATAAAATTTAATCAAAATTTTTACAAATAATAGTTATCATTAGTTTATATAATGAATTTTATTGATTTATAATATTGATATAAATTACAATAACTAATACAGTAATGCATTTTATTGACAAAAATTATAGTTTACAATAAAATGTTTTGTTTTGTATTTTTAATCGATTTTTGCTATTATATAAAATAAATATTAAATTTATTAATCGTTTCGTTTTAGTTACACAGTAATCAGTTAAATGGTTAACAATATATATTAAACAACTATTATTTATCTATTATATTATTAAATTAAAAATTGTTATTATAAGAAATTCACAATCATTAGTTAATTGATAGTAATTATTTATTTGTAAAAATAATAATAAATCAACCATGTTAACATCATGTATTAAATTAATTCTGTCAAACACTACAAATAATTATTTAGATAAAAATAATTATTTAAATAATATTATTGATTTTAATAATAATAATCATGATAATAATAAAACTAATAAATTTGAATGTATTTTAAAAGCCTCATTAGAGGTAAAATTTTGATTATTATAATTATTTTTTAAATAAACTTTTGATTATTAATTATAATTTTTAAAATTATTATTAAAAGACTTATTTTATTGGCAAACATTATGATATATGCGGCGAATTTGTAATCCTAATAGAAATAATAATAAATTATTTGAATTGCAGGTAATTATAAAAATAATTAATTTATTAATTAATTTAAGAAAAATAATAATTATATAAATATATTTAATACAAAAATAAAATTATTAATTTATATAATTACAATTATTTTAATAGGATATATTTTATACCAATAGGCAATAATATTAATGGCACATTGGCAGCTAAAATAAGATACATTAATAATAATGTATTTAATAATAATAATATTATTAAAAATATTTAATGTAAAAAATTATACTATAATTTAATTTTTAAAAATTTATTTATTAGACACTAGACCTTATAACAATCATACTAGCTTATAAAACTGATTTGTTTAAATTATGCGATTCAATTTACCCTGTTAATATTCACAATTTTCTAACAATATTATCTGGCGATTATACTGGTTATGCGACAAAGTTTCAATTGTTGCCAAAATTTAGTTTGTCTATATGGTTGGTCATAGTTTCTATGTTTACTTTTTGTGTAATTGTAATCATAATCAATGACTGGATCCGACAATATTTGACAAACCGTGACAAACCATTTGACTTGAAAGATACTATTGTATGCATTATAATGGATCATCTGTTGGTATTTATTAGTAGATGTATGTATAATAGTTTTTTTGAAAAATAAATATTCAATAATTATTAATATAGTATTTTGGTTTTCTATCAATTAATAGCTGTTATAAGCAATTATATGTTAAATGGATCAGTGTCGAAAATTATATTTGCCATTTGGTTAGCTAATTGTTTTTTTTTGTCACAATTGTTAAATAGTGATATGCTATCGAGATATTCACATAAACCGTTAACATTTATTAATCACCTTGATGATATAATTAACAATCAAAACAAATTGATTGTTTTGGTTGGAAAATCTACTTATGTATATAATGGATATTTAAAGGTTATTAATAATTATAAGTGAAAAAATTATTATTTTTATTATTAATTAATTAATCTTTAATTTTTAGATAAAATATCCATCATTATTGTATGAAAATTTTAAATTTCGAAATGTTAAAACTAAAAAATTTGTATATGAATTAATTAGCGGTCAAACGGTAGTAATAAATGGTGAAAAATATATCGATCAGATTATTAATATGTATCCAACAATACCATTACATAAGTCAAAATATAACCAGTTGTTAGGTATATCCGGTATTTTTGTTAGGAAATCTTTGGATGAAAATCTAAGATTAAAACTTAAACAAAAGTAAATTAATAATTTTATAATATTTATTGATTAACAAAAAAATATTAACTTTTAAAAAATTAATTTTACTATATTTCCAGATTTGTTATTCTATGGGAATCTGGTCTCATATTATGGCGTTTATTAGTTAATACTATTATGGATCGGATAGAAAAAATAAAATACGATCGACTAATTCAATATAATAATAATAATAACAATAATACTAATAATGATTATGATATTATCAATACTATTAATCAATATGATAATAAGTTTCATATAATTTGTGTTGATAATATTAAATTACTAATTTATTTTATTGTAATTGGTTTACTATTATCAATCATTGTTCTAGTCATTGAAATATTAAAATTTACATATCTATAATAATAATATTAATAAAAATAAATAACAAATAATAATACAATAATTGTAGAAATTATTTAATCTATTTAATTTAATTAGATTATACAGTTAAATTAATGAATTTATTATAGTAAATATAAGTAAGTTTTATTAATTAATTAACTATACTGTGTATATATATAAGTAAATTATAAAAATACATTTAAACTCGAAAAAAATTTGTTGAAAAATTATTTTAATTAAATAATTCATATAATGTATAAATAAACATAAAAAAAAGTTAAAAATATTTAATAAAAACATTGACTTAGGTCTATTAAGTTTTTAAAACATGTTTATTATAAAAATTTAATTATTTAGACTTTTTTAGGACAGTTTTAATAATCAGATAATAAAATAAACTTTTTTTTTAAAAATAAAACTAAATTATTAACAGAAAACAAACAAATATATATATATATTAAATTAATTTTTCTAGATTTTTTAGTCTATATTAATATTATTAATATAGACTAAAAAATCTAGAAAAATAGCTTATGATTAAAATAATTAATAGCAACTATTAATAATTAATTATTTTGAAACAAAACTTATTTAATATTTATGTTTTAATATTTACTGATTAATTGGTTTTTTAAAACTTTTTAAAACTTTTTTGTTATAACAGTATATAATTAAATGTTTCAATCAATGCATTCAATCAATTATTATATACAGTATTAATAAATACTGTTTAATGCTATGATTGTTGGCATTCATTGATTGCATTGCATTCCATAAGTTCGACGCATTTATTCAATTCATTCAATCATTCAATTGATTTAGTGATTCATTCAATTGGTTTTCAACAAAAAATAATACAAAAACTCAAGAGTAGTGAAGATTACTGAAGATTACAGTCAAACAAACAAACAGATAGAAGAAGAAGAAGAAGAAAATGTTTAACTATAAGAGCAGATCAATGACAACGTTGAACATGACATCGGTATCGGTGGTCGACAACAGTATCGACTATTTGAACAAAGATGTGGACTCATTGACCAAAGAGATTGCAGACATCGAAAAGAAGATCAGAATCGAAGACAACAAATGTCGACAATTGGACAGTGAATGCACTGAAGAGGAACAGCGAGAGGCAAAACTTCAGCAGACCATCGATGACAATGAAAAACAATTTAGTATTAATATTATTATAAGATATTATCATTTGTCACTCAAGAAGTCACTGATTGATTAAATTTGTTTTTGTTTTTGTTTGTTCAGAACAATTGACTGAAGACAATGAACGACTGACCCGTTATATCTCTAGTCTGGAAATGTCGGACAAAGAATTACAACAAATGCAACAATCGATGCAATTGGAGATCAAACGTGTCGGCGATCAACACCGGCAACAGCTGACAGAACTGAATCAAGTGAAGGACTTTTATGTCAAACAGTTGGACGAAAAACGCAAAGCCTATGAACAGTTGGATGCAATCGTTTCCGAAGTTGTCGACAATGACTTCGACAGACACCAGCGTTCGGTGTTTATGGAAAAGAAGAAACAAAACGAAGAAATTCAACTGGATATTCAACGACTGGAACAAGAGATCCAATCGATCACAGAAACAATGGTTTGTGTGTTAATTATCTTCGTTTAAGACTTGTAGTCATTGATGATAATTATAATCATTGGTTATACATTTCAGGCGTCATTACCGTCAACCTGTTTGGACAAATCGCTCGATGAGTACAGGGATCCGATTAAAGTGATCGTCAAAATTGCCGAAACAAAGCTTCAAACTAATGCTATGCAGGCATACCTTATTGAAGACCTCAAGAATAGAGAGGAATTGGACAGTCAGTCGACTAACAGTGATAACAGTTGTCTTATTATTGAACCATCGCAGCCATTGGTAACAACAACAACCATAACCACAACCACAACAATAACAACACCAGAAAGTCAGACATTGGATAATGAGGTGCAACTGTTGGACGATTTGCATATCGTTTCCCAACGTACTGATGAACCGAATGGATCGCAAAATAATCTAATCGAAGAAGTTGTCGACATTGAAGGCGAAGAGATGGACACTCAATCGGTAACTTCGAGTTTGTTGTTCAGCAAATTTTTCGATGCAAAAAGTTTGGTGACCAACAACAACAACAATAACAACAATGACAACAATAATAACAACAATAACGATGATGATAATTGGTCCACCGATAATGGCTTCAAATTGTTTGACCAATTGGACGACCAAACAGACCAATCGGTCCGATCGGAGACCAAATCTACTGATTTTTTTTCATTTTTCAAATAATTTTTATTTATTTCATTTAAAATATTTAATAAGAAATTTCACTTTTAAATACAATATTATTATTAATAATAATATTTATTAATCTATAGAATTAACTTTAAAAATATTTAAAAATCTTTAATTATTAATAATTTATAATAAACTCCACTTAAACTTACGGTAAATAATAATAAATAAATAAAAATCTTCATTTGTTTAACTAAGACTTGAAAAACTATTTTCCGAAATGCTTTGCGATGAAGAAGTGGGCGATCGCTGTGAGCCGTACGAAGTGATGGTCGACAATGAAACCAAACGACCACTTAGACCATCGCTGGATTGAGTCGATTCGTCACCAGTTGATCCGTCGATAACGACAGAGTGATTATCGTTGTCGTCAACATTGTCGCCATCGCTATCCGAGTCGTCGCCCATACGTACGGTTTCGTTATCGTCGTCATCGAAGTCCGATTCGTATTCAAAATTTTCGACAGCCGTTTCGTAGGACTTTATCGACGACTGCGGCGATGACATACAATCGGTAGCCAATTCGCTGGTCCGCTGAACGACCAGAAAAGTGTCCGAATACTCGTCGTACTCGTAGCTGTTGTCGTCGACCTCAGTCCGATCGGTGTCCGAACAGTTGTTGTCATTTGAACGGTCATTATAATCCAGTTGTGGTACACAGCTGTCGAAACCTTCCTGAAGAACACGTTCGGCCAATTGATACTTCTGGTGACAATCCATGGCAGCGATAAAGCGCAACAATCGACGGATACATTTCTGATTCATTGTACCGATAATATTGAACCACAAACTGATCGATCCGTCCAAATCAAACAGTTGCGGACCAAACGTTTGGATCACTTCCAGAAGCTTGACATTTGTACTCATTTTTCTTGTTGTGGTGACAATCAAACAAACAAACAAAACAAAAAAGACAATCAAATTGTTGGTCTGATAACTATTATAATAGATAAGACATAATTTTGTGTTTTTTATATACAAATGTTTGTACAGTTTTTTTGTTGGTTGTTGTGAATATTTTACAAAATTGATTATCAATGATATTATAAGTTTGCTGTAAAAATACACAATTTATAGTTTTATTTTGTTGTAATAATGACTTAAATTTTAACAAATTAGAAACATGATTACTAAAAAATTGAAATTTTTATAAAAAAACAAATCATAATTATTAAATTATAAATAATTTTTTAAAAATACATAAATACATTTATATTAAATTTAATTATATCTAAAAATAATTTTTTTTCTCTCAAATAGATAAGAAATTTTAGATTTAAATCTAAATTTTTAAAAAAAATCAAATAAAATTGGTTACAAAAGCAGACATACTATATATTGATTAACAATAATCTTATCAATAAAATGTAATTTAAAAAAACATAATAAATAAATTTTTTAAAAATTAAATTTCGACTAAAATGAATGCTATTAGACTTATATTAAGATAATTATAAATACTTTTATCAAAAAACATGAATATAATATAAAAAATGATTTTCTTTTTTTTAAAAACACACGAGTAATAGTGAACATATGAATTAATTATATTAAAATAACAGCATAATAATGATTTTTTTCATTTTAAATAAAACAAAAACAAAAATTCAACAATTATTTGAATATATACTCAAATGTTTCAAAAATATATAATGAATATATTTTTTTAAATGAAATTATGATTAAGTAATAATGAAAAATAAACTTTTTTTTATATACCGGTAATAAAATACTATATTTTTAAGCAAATTTTTGTTTAAAAAAATCCAATCTCGTTGTCCATTAAATCCAATCCAATATTTAAAAAATCCGTGAAAAATCTTTTCAAATAAAATAAAATTTATTATTTAAATAAAAAACAAAAACCATTTAATCCAATGATAAAAATAAGACAAACTTGTTATGCAATGATTAAACACTTATTTTAAAAAATGTTTGTTTATTTATACGTCTCCTATAACGACCTTTACGTCGGCGACCACCACCACAATCGCTATCATTATAGACAACCGATTTGGACGCCTTATTCTGCTGCTGTTGTTGTTGATGTTTTTGTTGTTGTTGTTGATGTCGTCGTTGTTGTTGCTGTTGTTGTTGTTGTTGCTGTGATTCGTGTTTGTCGCTGTCATTCAAAAAGCTTTCAATTTTTAACTTAATTCCCGCCCTATTCATCGGACAATAGCGTACAGTGTGGGCATAAATGCCGCCACCGTTATGACAAATAGGACAGTCGTAGGCCCGCAGATATGGACAAACAATTTTGTCTTCTGGATCTTTTAGTATATGACTTTTGTATATCTCTTCGCTGCGATTGTTGTTCTTGCAGAACACACACTCGGTTAGTGTTGGCAATCGGCGCCGAATCCTCGGCTGAATGTAAACACTGCTTTCTATTGTCTGCGGCGGCGGCGGTGGTGGTGACGCTGACGCTGTTGGCGGCGGCGGCGCCGGCATTGTAATAATCGATGAAATAATTTTCGGGGGCGATATTGGTGGTGATGGTGGCGGCGGAGGTGCAGCCAAATTCCAACAATACGATTCCAATGGACTCGTGTCTGAATTATAATAATTTCTATTAACCGTCCAATTGTTGGCCAAATCTTCTTTGACATTCCAAGAGCTCGGCAGTGTACCGATCGGTGTCGGCGATCTAACTGAATAGCTGTCCAATTGCGATGATAACGACGACGACGACACCAATGATTGAAATCCAATTGGCGACTCATTATTGGCCACTGATTTGTCGCCAATATTATCCACTCGCGAGTTGTTTCTGTCATCGGTCTCCTCATACTCTGTATATGTCTTTCGTATGGCTCTTCTGTACGGCGGTAACACTGTCTGCGACAACGATAACGACGACAGCGGCGGCAATGCCAACAATGGTGGCGATGGCGGCGCCGGCGTTAAAAATGTTAGTGTATTGTCCGTCAACTTTGGTTCCGAAATAATACTGTTCCAGAAGTTTGTCGAAAATTGCATTCCTATCGATGACGATAGCGGAGGAAATATTGACTTCGGTGGTGATGATTGTGACGGCCATTCGTAGAGAGTGGCAAACCATTGGTCTATACAATCGGTAATCGTTGACCAACTGGTATACGATGGACTGCTGTCACTACTATTGTTGCCGTACTTACAGTCGATATTAAAGCTATTGTTGTTGTTGTTGTTGTTGTTGTTGCTCTTGTAGTCGTAGTCGTTGACCATCGATGGCAACGACAACGACGGTGACGGTGTTGATGGAAACGGTTCGTAAGCTTTAATAACTGGCCAATTGGTCGGCGTATCGGCGGCTGAGAGTGAGTCGGCCGTAAAATGGCCCCACAATTGCATATTTTGCAACTAATTAATGATATTATATATGAAGATATTTATTATTAAAACACAATTCAAATCCAATTAATTCAAATCAAAATGTTTGACACAATAATAACTATATGTCTAATAATATTATATTATAAGCGATGCAATCAATCACTGATATAGTCTCTGACTATTCAATAGTTATTACATTAAATGCAATATTTTTTTTTGTTTGTTTGACATATCGTATGCTTTGATTGATCTAATTTGCATAATACAGTCAAATCCAGTTAATTAAAAAAAATATGGATAATATAGTATAAGTAGTAAATTGGATAAGCAATTATTTATTTATTTTTTAAAAAATCTTATAATTAATTAATGCTTTTATTTATGTTTTTTGTTTGTTTGTTTAAATAATTACATATAATTGTATTGGGTGAATTATTTAAGATAAAATAAAATTTAATATATTATTATTTTTTAAATATTTTAAATACTTTACTGTTTAATATACTATACAAAAAATATAAAGTGATTTGACTGTACTTTATATATATTGTATACCAACACGTCATACGACACGTTATTATCCAATAGCCATACGAAATGTCTATCAAATCATTGACCGATGAGTCGATATATAATATAATACTGTATAGAGTTTAATGAATTACTAATAGTTTTATAATAAAACTTTTATTATTAAAATAAATATATTTTTAATAATTTTGATGAAATCATTAGTACTGTATATATACAGTACACTAACAATACAGTGTACTAATAATTTATATTAGTTTTATTAGTCCACCCCTCCCTTTCCCCCCTCCCCTCCCATCTAATCAAATATTGAATCTACCATACTCATAATTATGATATTATAAAATTATAATAAAACAATTAAATTCAATTGTAATTATTATTAAAACTATATAATAATTAAAAAAAATAAAGTTTAATAAAAAACTTTTAAATGTATCTATGTGTGTGTGTATGGGTGACCCCACTGGAGGTGGGGGTGGCATTAACATTAATATACTGTATGTATGTATAGGTAGTACTAGGTATAGGAAACCTTTACAAAATCACATTTAAATTATTTATTTATTTTAATATATATATATATATATAAATCTAGTTTATAATAATTTAGATACTATACTAAAATGGTTTTTTTAATTGTATATTAATTAAATAATATTTTGTATGAAATTAAATATAAAATTATGATAATTTAACAAAAAAAATTAAATTTAAAAAATTAATCTTAAGTTTTAAATTTTCTTAAATTAATTCAAAAATTATTTTATAACTATTTTCCATATTTAAGTCAATTATTTAAATATTTAATTTTTATATACAGTATAAACACTTTTTTTATTGATATATTAATATATCATATATTTTTTAATATTTATATTTAGGTTTAATTAACATGTGATTAATTATTTCAAAATATTATATACAGTTTACTGATTAAATAATTAATTAATAATAATAACATTTAAATATATCAATTAAAATTTTATGTTTACTATTACATTGTATATGTTTAGTGCAATAAATATCAATTTAAATATAATATGACCTAAAATATACTGTTTATACTGATTTAGTATTAATATAATATATTTAATGATAAATATTTATATTTATATATTAATTTAAATGCAATTAAATTAATTAATTAAAAAGTCAGTTGAAACCGCTTTTTATTGGTCTTAATAAACAATAGATTTTATTAAAGTCTGAGATTTATGTTTTTTATATTTATATTTTCTACTATTATATATACTGTATATATATAAAAAAATTTTGAAAAAAATCTAATTATATATTAATTATATGATATCAGTCATAGTAGAGCCCATAATCCTGGAGACTATTTGATTATCTCAAATGATTTTTATGGTTTCAAAATAAATCCACTATTTATATACAATACTAATAATAATAATATTTTTTAGTTTAATTATCTAATCAATAAAAATTTATTAGAAAGTATTTCAAAGTCATACCTAATTATGTATACAAATATGTTTAATAATATATGTATTTTTAGTCAATATTATGATTATTTATAATTATTTTTTATAAAGTAGAACTATTTTTAAAAAATTTTTAATATAGTTAATAAATTTAAATTAAATCAAAAAATTTGTTTGAGATTTTTAAAAAAATTTACAACTAAAAGTTACTAATTGTAATGTCAATGACATACACGTGTGTTAACTTTATATATAACTTATTAGATAATAATTAATATAATAATACAAATAATAATAATATTTATTTATTTTTTAAAAATATCACTGTATTGAATACTAGTAAATTGTGTAATAACTTTGATATAAAATAAAAATAGTGTACTTTTAGACATAGCATATGATTGATTAAATATTAGGTTATTATTATTATTAATATAATTTATAAATAAATAAATAAATAACAATTTCACGTGTAATAGTCATGTAGTGGCAAACCAGTTACAACTGACATATCTATAGCAAAAAAATAGTGATAATAATAATTATTATTACTATTAATAACAAATAATTTGCTTATTTTGGAAACAGTATAAATACTGTTAAACGACATATACATGTCTAAAATTATTTGATTAATTCATTGAACAGAAAAAAACTTTTATAACTTTTATTTTTTTTTATTTTATAAAAGTCGAAAAATTTAATTATTTCTATAAAAATTAATTTCAATTGTGTGTTAGTGATTATAACGAGTGCTACAAAAAACAAAACAATGTCTAACCGATTCTTATTGACCACATTTGACAGCCGATCGACACGTTTGTCGATGAAATACCTGACAAACCGTGACAACAACCGTAATGCCGATAATTGTCTGACACCGAAACCAACGGTTAACTACAGTAATCAAATGTCGACGCCATCGACCAGTGCTATTAAGTCAGACAATAAGGGTGTCTACAACTATATGTCCAGTAATTCAATGGCCAGTAATCGTCAAATGGGATGAAAACCAAAATATTTACCACAAATTTAGTGTTTATATTTAAAATGTAAATTATTTGTAAATAATTTTTGTTATTGTTGTATATATTATTTTATTTTCCACATCATTATTATAATATAATAATATTGTATATCATTTAAGTAAATTAATAAAATTAAAAATTATTCATCATACATTTAAATAATATCCTATTTTTTATTATTATCATAAGTACTAAATTTGTGATGATTGTTAATTGTTTATATTTGACAACAAAAAAATATACATGCAAAAAATTAATTTCTATGCAATAAAAAATTGATTATGATGTAAATTATGGGGGGTGGGGTGGGGTGACGAAAAAAGTTATCATATAATATACACTTATGTATATAGATTTTAAAATTAATTAATAAAATTAGTAAAAATAAATGTGATTAATAATAATAGTTAATTATATGCTTAAAATGTCTCCAATAGTATATTTGAATAGCTTATCAAAAAGATTGGATACACCGGTAATTGTTTTTGATTTTATTTTCGGTTCCCGTTTTACAAATTGACGTCTAGTTTGTATAACATTCGGAAAATTTACGACATTTTTCCCGTCGAACTGGACTTTCTTTATGGAAGTTTTGTCAATTCCCCGATCGGATACACTGACCACACATTTGGCCTGTTTGTTGTCCGGCGAAGCCGAACAATTGGCCGACGCTTTGTTGGCAATTGTTGCCGATTTTTTTAGACTTTTCTCACTGAATATCTCTGTAATCATCGATAACATTGTTAGTCCATAACATAATATCAATACTAATGAAAAATTCATAACTATTAAAAAAGTTATCAAATATTTATATATATATATATATACACTGTATATATTTTTGTTTACACACTCATTCATATACTATAGATTTATTTACATAAAGCAACAAAAAAAATAACGCCATATTTTGAAAATTATTTATATATTTTTTTAAATAGATATTTTTAATTAAAATAAAAATTATTATGCAATTAACTATTGAATTTATCAAAAAAATTTTTTTAATACTGTATACAATAAAGTCGATAGATGAGAGCACCGTTTCAATTAGTAGTATAGTAGAAGTACAGTAAACTTTTTATACAGTACTATTGCTATCAGTTATAAATGTATTATTATTATTATTTTGTAATATAAATAACCTAGAATCTAGGTCCTAGATAATAAAATTATGAAAAAGCAATTAGATTTTATCAATTTTTTTCAGCAATTATTTGTATGACGTTCATAATAATAATACTAATTATAATAATATTTTCAATTAGATATATCATAAACAATAATATAATTCAGTAGCTAAATGTAATTAATAATTATGATATCTTAAATTAATATCAAAAATTAATTTTATAACTATTTTCCATATTTATGTAAATTATTTAAATTTTTAATTTTTATATACAGTATATGTTTTTTATTGATATATTAATATATCATATAATTTTAAAATATTTATATTTATATTTAATTAATATGTCATTTACCACAAATTTAGTGTTTATATTTAAAATGTAAATTATTTGTAATAATGTTTTTTGTTGTTGTTGTTGAATATATTATTTTATTTTCCACATCATTATTGTAATAATATTGTATATCATTTAAGTAAATTAATAAAATTCATCATACATTTAAATAATATCCTATTTTTAACATTATTATCATATGTACTAATTTTGTGATGATTGTTAATTGTTTATATTTGACAACAAAAAATATACATGCAAAAAATTAATTTCTATGCAATAAAAAAAATTGATTATGATGTAAATTATGGGGGGGGGGGGGGTGACGAAAAAAAATTATCATATAATATACAATTGTGTATATGGATTTTAAAATTAATTAATAAAATTAATAAAAAAATGTGTGATTAATAATAATAATAATAGTTAATTAATAATTATATGCTTAAAATGTCTCCAACAGTATCTTTGAATAGGTTATCAATCAGATTGGATACACCGCTAATTGTTTTTGATTTTATAATCGGTACACGTTTTGCAAATTGACGTCTAGTTCGTAGATCAGTCGGAAAATTTTCCACATTTTTCCCGTCGAACTGGACTTTCTTTATGGAAGTTTTGTCAATTCCCCGATCGGAAACACTGACCACACATTTGGCCTGTTTGTTGTCCGGCGAAGCCGAACAATTGGCCGACGCTTTGTTGGCAATTGTTGCCGATTTTTTTAGACTTTTCTCACAGAATATCCCAGTAATCATCGTTAACATTGTTAGTCCATAACATAATATCAATATTAATGAAAAATTCATAACTATTTAAAAAGTTATTAAATGTTTATATACTGTATATTTATTTTTGTTTACACACTCATTCATATGCTGTATATTTATTTACATAAAGAAAACAAATTGACGCCATATTTTGAAAATTATTTATATATTTTTTAATAGATATTTTTAATTAAAATAAAAATTATTATGCAATTAAATATTGAATTTATCAATCAATTTTTTTATTACTATATATAATAAAATCAATAGATGAGAGCACCGTTTCAATTAGTAATATAGTAGGAGTACAGTAAACTTTATATACAGTACTAAATTGCTATCAGTTATAAATGTATTATTATTATTATTTTGTAATATAAATAACCTAGATAATAAAATTATGAAAAAGCAATTAGATTTTATCAATTTTTTTCAACAATTATTTGTATGACGTTCATAATAATACTAATACTAATTATGATAATATTTTCAATTAGATATATCATAAACAATAATATAATTCAGTAGCTAAAATTAATTAACAATTATGATATTAATGACATTAAATATATGATATAATATATATATATATTAAAAATTAATCATTTGATAGTTAATAGATTAAATAATTATAAGTATTCAATTAGTCACTATTTTTAACAAAATATAAATAATACATTATTTTTATATTATTTAAAATATTTTGGTTTATTTTTAATATATGTATAGTGTTATTTTTTATCAAATTTTAATATGAAATAATTTAATTTTATATTTAAATTATTTACAGAGAGTATGATATAAAACTAAGTATTAAATATTTTCCACATTTAATGTTAATTACTGTATTTTATTATTATTGAAAGAAAATAATTAGTATATATTTTTGCCTAAAAATAAATATCTATTAATTTATTAATCATTAGTAATGAATCATTTATATATATCTATATTAAATGATACTTTTGATGTCATTATATTTTAACAATTAAGTAAATATAACATATCATATCATATATATATTTTTCAATTGAATAAAAGTTTAATTGACTATGAATTAAATGTTAAACAAAAATCATTTTGATCTTATAATTGAATAAATGAAAACAATTGATGTGATAATAAAAGTGATAAAAATTTATTTCAAGAATCTTTAAGTTGTTAATTAATTAATTATTTTTTTGACAAACAATTGAGTTAATGATAATAATAACACTATCACACTATAATAATTTTTTTTAAAAATTATTAATTATAAACTAATGATATTATAATTGTGTTATTTTTTTGTCGGATTTTTTGTTATATTAAACTTATAAGTCTTTATATTAAACTTAAAAATACAACCTATTGTTTGTCGTATATTTAAAAAAAGACATCAAAAATAATGATCAATAATATATTGAATTCAATTTCCATAATTGCTATTAATTTTCAACAATTAATAGTCGAAACCAATGCCGAGATATTATTGTCAATAAATAAATTGAATGAAACATATCCACGACTACCGGTTTGGTCATCGGCACTGTCGACTACGTTTGCCATATCAGTCATACCGTATTTGATCTTATTTTTCATACCATTGAACAATACACCGGAATATGCATCACATCTTCGTGTTTGTCTGAGTCTGGCCGCCGGCGGACTACTGGGCGACGCATTTCTTCATCTAATACCAGAATCGCTGTCATCGTTGACCAGTCATGACGATCGACTGGGTGTCGGTCTTTGGATATTAACCGGATTTTTCGGGTTTTTTATTATTGAAAAAATGGTCAGAATTGTCAAAGATTATCAACAATCTGGTGGTGATGTTAGTCGCTGTGGTGCTGCTGCTGATGATAATAATGATAATGATTATAATATTTATGACAACAATATGAATGGTAATCAAATATTTGATTTAAAATTAAGCAAAAAGATAAATAATAATTATAATAATAATAATAATAATATTTGTATCAATAATAATAATCATAATCATAAAATATGTGATAAATTAGATACTGATAATATAGACAACAGTGATGACCAAAATAAGCAGATAATTAACCAGAAATCTAACTCAAATTCGGTCAACGATATAGATGTTGCCGGCTATTTGAATCTTGTGGCCGATTTGGTGCACAATTTTACCGACGGTCTGGCCATTGGCAGTTCGTTTATGGCCGGCCACAGTGTTGGTCTGGTTACCGGCATTGCCATAATGGTTCACGAAATACCGCACGAAATCGGCGACTTTGCCGTACTTATTAAGTCCGGGTGCTCTCGGCGTCGGGCAATGAGTTTGCAACTGTTAACGGCTATTGGCGCCCTAACCGGTACAGTTGTAAGCCTATCGATGGGAACTGTAAGCAATAGCGGCGACAATTGGGTGCTGCCGTTTACCGGCGGCGGCTTCATCTATATCGGCACCGTTACGATACTACCGGAGCTCTCACAGCTAACCGATTTGAAACAGGCTTTTTACGAGTTGTTTGCACTTTTATTTGGCATATTTATTATGATTTTGATTATCTGACTTTGATTTTATTTATTGCTTAGTTTGTTGTTTTAATTTTTAAAAATTTATATAATATATTTATAAATGTTTATATATATATATAGAAATATATATTTATAATTTTTACAATATTAATTTGATTTTAATTTATAATAATTTAAAAAATAATGTTTTAGTGAACATAATATTATATAATTTTTAAAAAATAAATTAATTAACTTAATTTTACAAATGTATCATATGCTATGCATGTTTTATGGATACAATATATTAATAATAATTAACAATCTGTGATTTATTTAAAACTATCATTTATACCTACATTCAATAGTTATCTCGTTTCCTATTTTTAAAAATTTAAAATATATTATAAATTATATTTAAAAAATGGAAATTTATACTATAAGTTAAATAAATTTTTTATCAAACAATATATATATAAATATTATAATAGAATAATTGTATTAAATATTTTATTTTGACATTAAATCAGATAATAACAGTTAGTATTATTAAAAGAGAAATATTATTAAACTTTATAATAATAATAGAGTAAATAATCAAAATATTCTAATCAATGTTAAATATCTCACATTTATAGATAAGTTTTACATTAAAATATTTTTCAATATTTATATAAATATATTATAAAGTACAGTAAGTTTGCTGTATATAATAAAAATATTTTTCTTTACACAATGTTTTCATAAAAAACATTGTATAAGTACTTTGTGTGTATCGTATAGACTCACTATAAGTTATATAATATATGATATTATAAAGTTTAGTTAGTTGGCTATAAATATCAATACTTTTGATATTATTTATTGCTATATTATATATCAAAACCACTTTACTTTACAGTTATTTAAACTTAATATACTGTGACATACAGTAGTAGTAACTAAGTGTATAAAATTTATTGGCAATTTATAGGGAAAATTTTTTTTGTTGGATAATGCATAACAAAATGTTAAAACATGCAAATTATGCAAAAAACTATAACAAATGAAAGTTAACATATTTTTACGTAATATTTTTTACTATTTTAATACATAGTGTATAATATACAGTGTATATACAGTAATATCTCATATATATGGCAATCAGTTAATGTATTTAAATAGATTTTTGGTCCGTCAATAATGCATTGATTTAGTTTAACATAACATTTTCGGTTTAGTCAATATTCAATGTTTATAATGTTATGCATTTTTATCATATTTTATGTGAAAACATTACTATTTTTAGAAAAAAGTTAGAAACTATTTATATTAAAATTCATGAAATATTTAATATTTTATTTTTTAAAATACTGTATAATATTATAAAAGTTATTATAAATTAAAGGTTAAAAATTATTAATTAAATTTAATATATTGGTTAGCATTTTTGTTGATAGTTGTAATACAAATATGTAAAACAACACTGCTCATTTAAAATTAGTTTAACTTGATTATTAGTTCAAATTAAGTAATGATTAATTAAAATATAAAATTATAGAAATAACCACAAACCGGATATATTTTGTAATAAATGACAAAAATATATGTTAATATAAATTAGATATATAAACAGTTTATAAAATTATATTTATATGATTGTAATCAATATTAATAAAATGTTTAAAATTTTTATTTTTAATATATATTATCACAAAATTCAATTAAACATTGTATGTGTGTGTGTATGTGTGTGTGTATGTGTTTAAGTAAAATATTGTTAAATATGTGTGTATAACGTATTGTCAATGAAGTCATGTATAAATTTCAGAAAATAAAATTTAAAAAAAATACAGAATATGTTTAATATTCTGTAATGTATCATATTATGTAATACAGTAGTTTAATATTAAGTATAAACAAGCAAATCAATGCATTTTAATAACATTGCGCAAACTATAATTTATAGATTGTAAATATATATATAGAAATTATTATCTGCAAATGTGAGCTAAATATATGTATATATTAATATATATATATATTGATAAAATCTACTAATTATATATATATATATTATTTATAACATACTTTATATCTATAAATCGTATATATATATAAACTTTATATTTATATATAAATTGTGTATTTACTTATTATATACGGTATATACACTGTATGTTATAATATAAGAAATAAGACGTGCAAATGAAGTTTGTTTGTTATGTTATTACGGTTTAAGTAATATCTCATGCAATCTGTTTTGTAAGCTTTGGTACACTATTACTACTACAGTACTACTACTGTATGTGTCAGTAGTACAGCCAATATACAAGACATTGTGTTTTTGTGTGTGTAATATAACATCAGTTTTTTTTGGATACTTTTTTTTGAGATAAATCTTTGTTTAAGAAAATACAGGACTATTTAGTTAAATACAAATAGAGATATTGAATGAAAAAAAAACATTTGGATAGAAAAGTACACAACATTTGTTATTATTACACTATTTGGGGTATTATTTGTTGTATATATATATATCATTGGACAACAATTTTTTTTTTTTTTTGAATTATTGAACATTAAATTATTGAATATAAGCGACAATTAATTGGTTTAGAATTTGATCGAAAAAAATTAAATGATAAGAAAATTTTCAAAATTTCTGTAAGTAAACATTTTCTTTATCATTCAATATATATTATAATTTATTATAAATTATTAATGTTTATATAAGATGTATAAAATTTATGTCAATTTTGAAAAATTGGTTGATTAAAAATTTAGGTTATTTTTACTAGATTTATTAATTTTTCATATTATGTTTTTAAAATTATAATATATATTTTTTATTTATATGTTTTATACGGTATTATATTATAAAGTGTTACAAATATTTGTTTTTAAATAAAAGTTTTGTCAGAAATTTTATTATTATTATTATTATCATTGTATGCACAAATAATTTGATAAATTAAGTATATATATAAAGTATACGCGTGTTTTACATCTATTAGATTTGTAAGTACAGTATATTATATATATATATATATATATATATATATATATATATAATTATAAATATTGTTGTGTAAATCATATCAAATATTTATATAAATATATATGAAAACAAATTTATTTGAAAACGATTTTAAGAGCCAAATAATAGAGAGAATTATTGTCTGATTTATGGATTCACTTCATATCTACTGTCTTTGCATGTCTTCGTCTGGTTATTGATATAAACAAATCATACCATTGTATTTGATCAGAAAGAGAGAGAGAGAGAGAGAGAGAGATAACAAAATAAGTAATGAGATGTACAGTATTTTTGAAAAACAATAAAATAAGTGTCGTTAGCAATAATAATAATAATAATAATATAGTACTGAAAAATCATATAAAATATATTGCTGTTATATCATTCACAATATATATAACATATATATATATATAATAATTGTTAAGTATATTAAATTGTCAAGAATTTCATTTATGTCTCATAAATAAACTAATATATTATAGAAATTTATTTTTTTATATAATATAAAACATTAATGTTAGTAATTCCTGTGTACCTAATTTTTTTAGAGATTAATTTTTGTCGCTATTATAAATGTGTTTTGTGTGTGTGTGTGTGTGTGTGTCATAAATAAATAAATTTGTGTTAAACAGGAAGATATTTGTAAGTAATTATATATTTAAAAATATTTAAAAATGTATTTTGAATCATAAAATAAATTTTAATTACTTATTGCAGATAATTTAAATTTAGATGTCTTTTCAACCAATGTTTTTATTAAATATATTTCAAAAATATTTATATAATTAACATATGACTGATAAATGTATGACAATATACTGGCAGTACTGGCAATACTAATCCTTACATTAGTTTATTTTTATAATATGTTTATTATTTTTTTTATGTCTTTATTAAGAAAACTATTTAGTGTTGAGTTATAAATGAAATTACTTTATAATTTATATACAGTTATTTGATGTTCAATAATCTTATTATAAATATAGTTAAAATCTAATAAAATATTTTTAAGTAAAGTCTTATTTAATTTTTAAGTAATCATAATTAATTTTATTTGATTTTTAAATCACTAAAATAAAGTAAATAATAACATATATAAATAGATTCAACAATATTTAAACAATTAAATTTGTACGCTATTTAGTAATTTAAAATAAAATCATTATTTAAAAAATTTATGAGATTATTTCATGATTTTAAAAATAAATACAGTAAAAAATAAAAATGTTCACTATTTATATATATATATATATTTAGTATTAATTTATTTAAAATAAAAATAATCTAATTTAAAGTTTAATACATTTTTTATGTCAATCATATAAAAAAATGTTAAAACTATTTTCATGTATGCATCAAATTTTATATTTTTAAACTCAAAAAATTATATAACATTTATATTTTAGGTAAAGTTTATATAAAACAGACAACAAAATATTATGATAAAAATTAATTTATAAATTGGTAACAATATTAAAAAAAAATATTAATTGCAATTTAAATAAATGATATTATATTTGACAATTATTAATGACAATTTTTTCATATAAAATTTATATAAAATATAAATGTATGTTACAATTTTTAAACAAATCTATAAATTTATCATTAATAACTATAAAAAATCAATATAATTATTTTTGTCTTAAAAATTGATTATAACTATCATAAGTAAAAAGTTTGCAATTAATCGATATTAGACATTAATTTTATATAATTTTTAAAAAATATTTTTTTTATTCAAATATACATTATTTTGTTTTTATTGATAGTTAATCAAAAATACATTTAATTTCAAAATTGATTAATAATGTATAATAAATTATTATTTGATTATATTTTTTTTATATATTAGTTTTAAATAATTTTCTAAAAAATGGCAATAATGTATTATTAAAACTAGTAATCATAAAAAATATAATAAATTTTAATTTATCATTAGTCATATATTCAATTTATTATATTGTTAATTTGTTAATATTTGTATTTTTGAAAATCATTAATTATTTTTCTGATAGTTTAAACAGTAGTTATTTATAATAAATACTTCA